CTGTGTGTTCAACCCATCGTGTGTTGTTAGACCCACCGTGTATTCAACCCACAATGTGTTCAACCCACAGTGCGTTCAACCCACCCACCGTGTGTTCCACCCACCGTGTGTTCAACCCACCCATCGTGCCCCTAGAGATAGGCGCCCCTAGAGATAGGCGCCCCTAGAGATAGGCACCCCTAGAGATACGCACCCCTAGAGATAGGCGCCCCTAGGTATATGCGCCCATAGAGATAGGCGCCCCTAGATATATGCGCCCATATAGATAGGCGCCCCTAGGTATATGCGCCCATAAAGATAGGCGTCCCTAGAGATAGGCGCCCCTAGAGATAGGCGCTCCTAGACATAAGCCCCCCTAGAGATAGGTGCCCATAGAGATAGGAGCCCGTAGAGATAGGCGCCCCTAGAGATAGGCGCCCCTAGAGATAGGCGCCCCTAGAGATAGGCGCTCATAGTGATAAGCGCCCATAGAGATTGGCGCCCATAGAGATAGGCGCCCCTAGAGATAGGCGCCCATAGAGATAGGCGCCCCTAGAGATAGGCACCCCTAGAGATAGGCGCCCCTATAGATAGGCGCCCCTAGGTATATGCGCCCATAGAGATAGGCGTCCCTAGAGAGAGGCGCCCACAGTGATAGGCGCCCATAGAGATAGGCGCCCCGAGAGATAGGCGCCCCTAGAGATAGGTGCCCCTAGAGATAGGCACCCATAGAGATAGGCGCCTATAGAGATAGGCGCCCCTAGAGATAGGCGCCCATAGAGATAGGCGAACCTAGAGATAGGCACCCCTAGAGATATGCGCCCCTAGAGATAGGTGCCCCTAGAGATAGGCGCCCATAGAAATAGGCGCCCATAGAGATAGGCGCCCATAGAGATAGGCGCCCCTAGAGATAGGCGCCCCTATAGATAGGCAGCCATAGAGATAGGCGAACCTAGAGATAGGCGCCCCTAGAGATAGGCGCCCGTAGAGATAGGTGCCCCTAGAGATAGGCGCCTATAGAGATAGGCGCCCATAGAGATTGGCGCCCCTAGAGATAGGCGCCCCTAGAGATAGGTGCCCCTAGAGAAAGGCGTCCCTAGTGATAGGCGCCCATAGAGATAGGCGCCCATAGAGATAGGCGCCGACAGAGATAGGCGCCCCTAGAGATGAGCGCCCATAGAGATAGGCGCCTCTAGAGATAGGCGCGGGGCGCCCATAGAGATAGGCGCCCATCGAGAAAGGTGCCCCTAGAGATAGGCGCCCCTAGAGATAGGCGCCCATAGAGATAAGCGCACATAGAGATAGGCGCCCCTAGAGACAGGCGCCCCTAGAGATAGGCGCCCCTAGAGATAGGCACCCCTAAAGATAGGTGCCCCTATAGATAGGCGCCCCTAGAGATACGCGCCCCTAGAGATAGGCGCCCCTAGAGATAGTCGCCCCTAGAGATAGTCGCCCCTAGAGATAGGCGCCCATAGAGATTGGCGCCCATAGAGATAGGAGCCCATAGAGATAGGCGCCCATAGAGATAGGCGCCCATAGAGATAGGCGCCCATAGAGACATGCGCCCCTAGAGATAGGCGCCCTTAGAGATAGGCGCCCCTAGTGATAGACGCCCCTAGAGATAGGCGCCCCTAGAGATAGGCGCCCCTAGAGATAGGTGCCCCTAGAGATAGTCACCGATAGAGATAGGCGCCCTCAGAGATAGGCGCCCCTAGTGATAGGCGCCCCTAGAGATAGGCGCCCATAGAGACAGGCGCCCCTAGAGATAGGCGCCCTTAGAGATAGGCGCCCCTAGTGATAGGCGCCCCTAGAGACAGGCGCCCATAGAGATAGGCGCCCCTAGAGACAGGCGCCCCTAGAGATAGGCGCCCCTAGTGATAGGCGCCCCTAAAGATAGGCGCCCCTAGAGATAGGCACCCCTAGAGATACGCGCCCCTAGAGATAGGCGCCCCTAGAGATAGGCGCCCCTAGAGATAGGCGGCCCTAGAGATAGGCGCCCCTAGAGATAGGCGCCCCTAGAGATAGTCACCGATAGAGATAGGCGCCCTCAGAGATAGGCGCCCCTAGTGATAGGCGCCCCTAGAGATACGCGCCCCTAGAGATAGGCGCCCCTAGAGATAGGCGCCCCTAGTGATAGGCGCCCCTAAAGATAGGCGCCCCTAGAGATAGGCCCCCCTAGAGATAAGCGCCCTTAGAGAAAGGCGTCCCTAGTGATAGGCGCCCATAGAGATAGGCGCCCATAGAGATAGGCGCTGACAGAGATAGGCGCCCCTAGAGATGGGCGCCCATAGAGATAGGCGCCTCTAGAGATAGGCGCGGGGCGCCCATAGAGATAGGCGCCCATCGAGAAAGGTGCCCCTAGAGATAGGCGCCCCTAGAGATAGGCGCCCATAGAGATAAGCGCACAAAGAGATAGGCGCCCCTAGGGACAGGCGCCCCTAGAGATAGGCGCCCCTAGAGATAGGCACCCCTAAAGATAGGTGCCCCTATAGATAGGCGCCCCTAGAGATACGCGCCCCTAGAGATAGGCGCCCGTAGAGATAGTCGCCCCTAGAGATAGTCGCCCCTAGAGATAGGCGCCCATAGAGATTGGCGCCCATAGAGATAGGAGCCCATAGAGATAGGCGCCCATAGAGATAGGCGCACATAGAGATAGGCGCCCATAGAGACATGCGCCCCTAGAGATAGGCGCCCTTAGAGATAGGCGCCCCTAGTGATAGGCGCCCCTAGAGATAGGTGCCCCTAGAGATAGTCACCGATAGAGATAGGCGCCCTCAGAGATAGGCGCCCCTAGTGATAGGCGCCCCTAGAGATAGGCGCCCATAGAGACAGGCGCCCCTAGAGATAGGCGCCCTTAGAGATAGGCGCCCCTAGTGATAGGCGCCCCTAGATACAGGCGCCCATAGAGATAGGCGCCCCTAGAGACAGGCGCCCCTAGAGATAGGCGCCCCTAGTGATAGGCGCCCCTAAAGATAGGCGCCCCTAGAGATAGGCACCCCTAGAGATACGCGCCCCTAGAGATAGGCGCCCCTAGAGATAGGCGCCCCTAGAGATAGGCGGCCCTAGAGATAGGCGCCCCTAGAGATAGGCGCCCCTAGAGATAGTCACCGATAGAGATAGGCGCCCTCAGAGATAGGCGCCCCTAGTGACAGGCGCCCCTAGAGATACGCGCCCCTAGAGATAGGCGCCCCTAGAGATAGGCGCCCCTAGTGATAGGCGCCCCTAAAGATAGGCGCCCCTAGAGATAGGCGCCCCTAGAGATACGCGCCCCTAGAGATAGGCGTCCCTAGAGATAGGCGTCCCTAGAGATAGGCGCCTTTAGAGATAGGCGCCCCTAGAGATAGGCGCCCTTAGAGATAGTCACCGATAGAGATAGGCGCCCTCAGAGATAGGCGCCCCTAGTGATAGGCGCCCTTAGAGATACGCGCCCCGAGAGATAGGCGCCCCTAGAGATAGGCGCCCCTAGTGATAGGCGCCCCTAAAGATAGGCGCCCCTAGAGATAGGCGCCCGTAGAGATACGCGCCCCTAGAGATAGGCGCCTCTAGAGATAGGCGCACCTAGAGATAGGCGTACCTAGAGATAGGCGCCCCTAGAGATAGTCACCGATAGAGATAGGCGCCTCTAGAGATAGGCGCCCCTAGTGATAGGCGCCCCTAGAGATACGCGCCCCTAAAGATAGGCGCCCCTAGAGATAGGCGCCCCTAGTGATAGGCGCCCCTAAAGATAGGCGCCCCTAGAGATAGGCCCCCCTAGAGATAGGCGCCCCTAGAGAAAGGCGTCCCTAGTGATAGGCGCCCATAGAGATAGGCGCCCATAGAGATAGGCGCTGACAGAGATAGGCGCCCCTAGAGATGGGCGCCCATAGAGATAGGCGCCTCTAGAGATAGGCGCGAGGCGCCCATAGAGATAGGCGCCCATCGAGAAAGGTGCCCCTAGAGATAGGCGCCCCTAGAGATAGGCGCCCATAGAGATAAGCGCACAAAGAGATAGGCGCCCCTAGGGACAGGCGCCCCTAGAGATAGGCGCCCCTAGAGATAGGCACCCCTAAAGATAGGTGCCCCTATAGATAGGCGCCCCTAGAGATACGCGCCCCTAGAGATAGGCGCCCGTAGAGATAGTCGCCCCTAGAGATAGTCGCCCCTAGAGATAGGCGCCCATAGAGATTGGCGCCCATAGAGATAGGAGCCCATAGAGATAGGCGCCCATAGAGATAGGCGCACATAGAGATAGGCACCCATAGAGACATGCGCCCCTAGAGATAGGCGCCCTTAGAGATAGGCGCCCCTAGTGATAGGCGCCCCTAGAGATAGGTGCCCCTAGAGAAAGTCACCGATAGAGATAGGCGCCCTCAGAGATAGGCGCCCCTAGTGATAGGCGCCCCTAGAGATAGGCGCCCATAGAGACAGGCGCCCCTAGAGATAGGCGCCCTTAGAGATAGGCGCCCCTAGTGATAGGCACCCCTAGATACAGGCGCCCATAGAGATAGGCGCCCCTAGAGACAGGCGCCCCTAGAGATAGGCGCCCCTACTGATAGGCGCCCCTAAAGATAGGCGCCCCTAGAGATAGGCACCCCTAGAGATACGCGCCCCTAGAGATAGGCGCCCCTAGAGATAGGCGCCCCTAGAGATAGGCGGCCCTAGAGATAGGCGCCCCTAGAGATAGGCGCCCCTAGAGATAGTCACCGATAGAGATAGGCGCCCTCAGAGATAGGCGCCCCTAGTGACAGGCGCCCCTAGAGATACGCGCCCCTAGAGATAGGCGCCCCTAGAGATAGGCGCCCCTAGTGATAGGCGCCCCTAAAGATAGGCGCCCCTAGAGATAGGCGCCCCTAGAGATACGCGCCCCTAGAGATAGGCGTCCCTAGAGATAGGCGCCCCTAGAGATAGGCGCCTTTAGAGATAGGCGCCCCTAGAGATAGGCGCCCTTAGAGATAGTCACCGATAGAGATAGGCGCCCTCAGAGATAGGCGCCCCTAGTGATAGGCGCCCCTAGGTATATGCGCCCATAGAGATAGGCGTCCCTAGAGAGAGGCGCCCACAGTGATAGGCGCCCATAGAGATAGGCGCCCCGAGAGATAGGCGCCCCTAGAGATAGGTGCCCCTAGAGATAGGCACCCATAGAGATAGGCGCCTATAGAGATAGGCGCCCCTAGAGATAGGCGCCCATAGAGATAGGCAAACCTAGAGATAGGCACCCCTAGAGATATGCGCCCCTAGAGATAGGTGCCCCTAGAGATAGGCGCCCATAGAAATAGGCGCCCATAGAGATAGGCGCCCATAGAGATAGGCGCCCCTAGAGATAGGCGCTCCTAGAGATAGGCGCCCCTATAGATAGGCAGCCATAGAGATAGGCGAACCTAGAGATAGGCGCCCCTAGAGATAGGCGCCCCTAGAGATAGGTGCCCCTAGAGATAGGCGCCTATAGAGATAGGCGCCCATAGAGATTGGCGCCCCTAGAGATAGGCGCCCCTAGAGATAGGTGCCCCTAGAGAAAGGCGTCCCTAGTGATAGGCGCCCATAGAGATAGGCGCCCATAGAGATAGGCGCCGACAGAGATAGGCGCCCCTAGAGATGAGCGCCCATAGAGATAGGCGCCTCTAGAGATAGGCGCGGGGCGCCCATAGAGATAGGCGCCCATCGAGAAAGGTGCCCCTAGAGATAGGCGCCCCTAGAGATAGGCGCCCATAGAGATAAGCGCACATAGAGATAGGCGCCCCTAGAGACAGGCGCCCCTAGAGATAGGCGCCCTTAGAGATAGGCACCCCTAAAGATAGGTGCCCCTATAGATAGGCGCCCCTAGAGATACGCGCCCCTAGAGATAGGCGCCCCTAGAGATAATCGCCCCTAGAGATAGTCACCCCTAGAGATAGGCGCCCATAGAGATTGGCGCCCATAGAGATAGGAGCCCATAGAGATAGGCGCCCATAGAGATAGGCGCCCATAGAGATAGGCGCCCATAGAGACATGCGCCCCTAGAGATAGGCGCCCTTAGAGATAGGCGCCCCTAGTGATAGACGCCCCTAGAGATAGGCGCCCCTAGAGATAGGCGCCCCTAGAGATAGGTGCCCCTAGAGATAGTCACCGATAGAGATAGGCGCCCTCAGAGATAGGCGCCCCTAGTGATAGGCGCCCCTAGAGATAGGCGCCCATAGAGACAGGCGCCCCTAGAGATAGGCGCCCTTAGAGATAGGCGCCCCTAGTGATAGGCGCCCCTAGAGACAGGCGCCCATAGAGATAGGCGCCCCTAGAGACAGGCGCCCCTAGAGATAGGCGCCCCTAGTGATAGGCGCCCCTAAAGATAGGCGCCCCTAGAGATAGGCACCCCTAGAGATACGCGCCCCTAGAGATAGGCGCCCCTAGAGATAGGCGCCCCTAGAGATAGGCGGCCCTAGAGATAGGCGCCCCTAGAGATAGGCGCCCCTAGAGATAGTCACCGATAGAGATAGGCGCCCTCAGAGATAGGCGCCCCTAGAGATAGGCGCCCTTAGAGATAGGCGCCCCTAGTGATAGGCGCCCCTAGAGACAGGCGCCCATAGAGATAGGCGCCCCTAGAGACAGGCGCCCCTAGAGATAGGCGCCCCTAGTGATAGGCGCCCCTAAAGATAGGCGCCCCTAGAGATAGGCACCCCTAGAGATACGCGCCCCTAGAGATAGGCGCCCCTAGAGATAGGCGCCCCTAGAGATAGGCGGCCCTAGAGATAGGCGCCCCTAGAGATAGGCGCCCCTAGAGATAGTCACCGATAGAGATAGGCGCCCTCAGAGATAGGCGCCCCTAGTGATAGGCGCCCCTAGAGATACACGCCCCTAGAGATAGGCGCCCCTAGAGATAGGCGCCCCTAGTGATAGGCGCCCCTAAAGATAGGCGCCCCTAGAGATAGGCCCCCCTAGAGATAGGCGCCCTTAGAGAAAGGCGTCCCTAGTGATAGGCGCCCAAAGAGATAGGCGCCCATAGAGATAGGCGCTGACAGAGATAGGCGCCCCTAGAGATGGGCGCCCATAGAGATAGGCGCCTCTAGAGATAGGCGCGGGCGCCCATAGAGATAGGCGCCCATCGAGAAAGGTGCCCCTAGAGATAGGCGCCCCTAGAGATAGGCGCCCATAGAGATAAGCGCACAAAGAGATAGGCGCCCCTAGGGACAGGCGCCCCTAGAGATAGGCGCCCCTAGAGATAGGCACCCCTAAAGATAGGTGCCCCTATAGATAGGCGCCCCTAGAGATACGCGCCCCTAGAGATAGGCGCCCGTAGAGATAGTCGCCCCTAGAGATAGTCGCCCCTAGAGATAGGCGCCCATAGAGATTGGCGCCCATAGAGATAGGAGCCCATAGAGATAGGCGCCCATAGAGATAGGCGCACATAGAGATAGGCGCCCATAGAGACATGCGCCCCTAGAGATAGGCGCCCTTAGAGATAGGCGCCCCTAGTGATAGGCGCCCCTAGAGATAGGTGCCCCTAGAGATAGTCACCGATAGAGATAGGCGCCCTCAGAGATAGGCGCCCCTAGTGATAGGCGCCCCTAGAGATAGGCGCCCATAGAGACAGGCGCCCCTAGAGATAGGCGCCCTTAGAGATAGGCGCCCCTAGTGATAGGCGCCCCTAGATACAGGCGCCCATAGAGATAGGCGCCCCTAGAGACAGGCGCCCCTAGAGATAGGCGCCCCTAGTGATAGGCGCCCCTAAAGATAGGCGCCCCTAGAGATAGGCACCCCTAGAGATACGCGCCCCTAGAGATAGGCGCCCCTAGAGATAGGCGCCCCTAGAGATAGGCGGCCCTAGAGATAGGCGCCCCTAGAGATAGGCGCCCCTAGAGATAGTCACCGATAGAGATAGGCGCCCTCAGAGATAGGCGCCCCTAGTGACAGGCGCCCCTAGAGATACGCGCCCCTAGAGATAGGCGCCCCTAGAGATAGGCGCCCCTAGTGATAGGCGCCCCTAAAGATAGGCGCCCCTAGAGATAGGCGCCCCTAGAGATACGCGCCCCTAGAGATAGGCGTCCCTAGAGATAGGCGCCCCTAGAGATAGGCGCCTTTAGAGATAGGCGCCCCTAGAGATAGGCGCCCTTAGAGATAGTCACCGATAGAGATAGGCGCCCTCAGAGATAGGCGCCCCTAGTGATAGGCGCCCCTAGAGATACGCGCCCCGAGAGATAGGCGCCCCTAGAGATAGGCGCCCCTAGTGATAGGCGCCCCTAAAGATAGGCGCCCCTAGAGATAGGCGCCCGTAGAGATACGCGCCCCTAGAGATAGGCGCCTCTAGAGATAGGCGCACCTAGAGATAGGCGTACCTAGAGATAGGCGCCCCTAGAGATAGTCACCGATAGAGATAGGCGCCCTCAGAGATAGGCGCCGCTAGAGATAGGCGCCCCTAGAGATACGCGCCCCTAGAGATAGGCGCCCCTAGAGATAGGAGCCCCTAGTGATAGGCGCCCCTAAAGATAGGCGCCCCTAGAGATAGGCCCCCCTAGAGATAGGCGCCCTTAGAGAAAGGCGTCCCTAGTGATAGGCGCCCATAGAGAAAGGCGCCCATAGAGATAGGCGCTGACAGAGATAGGCGCCCCTAGAGATGGGCGCCCATAGAGATAGGCGCCTCTAGAGATAGGCGCGGGGCGCCCATAGAGATAGGCGCCCATCGAGAAAGGTGCCCCTAGAGATAGGCGCCCCTAGAGATAGGCGCCCATAGAGATAAGCGCACAAAGAGATAGGCGCCCCTAGGGACAGGCGCCCCTAGAGATAGGCGCCCCTAGAGATAGGCACCCCTAAAGATAGGTGCCCCTATAGATAGGCGCCCCTAGAGATACGCGCCCCTAGAGATAGGCGCCCGTAGAGATAGTCGCCCCTAGAGATAGTCGCCCCTAGAGATAGGCGCCCATAGAGATTGGCGCCCATAGAGATAGGAGCCCATAGAGATAGGCGCCCATAGAGATAGGCGCACATAGAGATAGGCGCCCATAGAGACATGCGCCCCTAGAGATAGGCGCCCTTAGAGATAGGCGCCCCTAGTGATAGGCGCCCCTAGAGATAGGTGCCCCTAGAGATAGTCACCGATAGAGATAGGCGCCCTCAGAGATAGGCGCCCCTAGTGATAGGCGCCCCTAGAGATAGGCGCCCATAGAGACAGGCGCCCCTAGAGATAGGCGCCCTTAGAGATAGGCGCCCCTAGTGATAGGCGCCCCTAGATACAGGCGCCCATAGAGATAGGCGCCCCTAAAGACAGGCGCCCCTAGAGATAGGCGCCCCTAGTGATAGGCGCCCCTAAAGATAGGCGCCCCTAGAGATAGGCACCCCTAGAGATACTCGCCCCTAGAGATAGGCGCCCCTAGAGATAGGCGCCCCTAGAGATAGGCGGCCCTAGAGATAGGCGCCCCTAGAGATAGGCGCCCCTAGAGATAGTCACCGATAGAGATAGGCGCCCTCAGAGATAGGCGCCCCTAGTGATAGGCGCCCCTAGAGATACGCGCCCCTAGAGATAGGCGCCCCTAGAGATAGGCGCCCCTAGTGATAGGCGCCCCTAAAGATAGGCGCCCCTAGAGATAGGCGCCCCTAGAGATACGCGCCCCTAGAGATAGGCGTCCCTAGAGATAGGCGCCCCTAGAGATAGGCGCCTTTAGAGATAGGCGCCCCTAGAGATAGGCGCCCTTAGAGATAGTCACCGATAGAGATAGGCGCCCTCAGAGATAGGCGCCCCTAGTGATAGGCGCCCCTAGAGATACGCGCCCCGAGAAATAGGCGCCCCTAGAGATAGGCGCCCCTAGTGATAGGCGCCCCTAAAGATAGGCGCCCCTAGAGATAGGCGCCCGTAGAGATACGCGCCCCTAGAGATAGGCGCCTCTAGAGATAGGCGCACCTAGAGATAGGCGTACCTAGAGATAGGCGCCCCTAGAGATAGTCACCGATAGAGATAGGCGCCCATCTCTAGGGGAGCCTATCTCTAGGGGCGCCTATCTCTGTGGGCGCCTCTCTCTATGGACGCCTATCTCTATGGGCGCATATACCTAGGGGCACCTGTCTATAGGGGCGCCTATCTCTAGGGGCGCCTATCTCTAGGGACGCTTATGTGTAGGGGCACCTATCTCTATGGGCGCCTATCTCTATGAGCGCCTATCTCTACGGGCACATATCTCTAGGGGCGGCTATCTCTAGGGGCGCCTATCTTCAGGGGCTCCTATCTCTATGGGCACCTATCTCTAGGGGCGTTTATCTCTAGGAGTGCCTATCTCTAGGGGCTCCTATCTCTGTGGGCGCCTATCTCTAGGGGCGCCTATCTCTATGGGCACCTATCTCTAGGGGCGCCAATCTCTAGGGGCGCCTATCTCTAGGGGCGCCTATCTCTAGGGGCCCCTATCTCTATGGGCGCCTATCTCTAGGGGTGCCTATCTCTATGGGCGCCTATCTCTATGAGCGCCTATCTCTAGGGGCGCCTATCTCTAGGGGCGCCAATCTCTAGGGGCGCCTATCTCTAGGGGCGCCTATCTCTAGAGGCGCCTATCTCTATGGGCACCTATCTCTAGGGGCGCCAATCTCTAGGGGCGCCTATCTCTAGGGGCGCCTATCTCTAGGGGCGCCTATCTCTATGGGCGCCTATCTCTAGGGGTGCCTATCTCTATGGGCGCCTATCTCTATGAGCGCCTATCTCTAGGGGCGCCTATCTCTAGGGGCGCCAATCTCTAGGGGCGCCTATCTCTAGGGGCGCCTATCTCTAGAGGCGCCTATCTCTAGGGGCGCCTATCTCTAGGGGTGCCTATCTCTATGGGCGCCTATCTCTATGAGCGCCTATCTCTAGGGGCGCTTATCTCTAGGGGCGCCTATCTCTAGGGGCGCCTATCTCTAGGGGCGCCTATCTCTAGGGGCGCCTATCTCTAGGAGCGCCTATCTCTAGGGGCGCCTATCTCTAGGGGCGCCTATCTCTGTGGGCGCCTCTCTCTATGGACGCCTATCTATATGGGCGCATATACCTAGGGGCGCCTATCCA